CTGAAGCGGGGAGGCTTGCTTGAGGCCAGGAGTTTGAGACCAGCCTGAGCAAGAGCAAGACCCCATCACTGCAAAAAATAGAAAAATTAGCCAGACATGGTGGCACACACTTGTAGTCCCAGCTACTTGGGAGGCTGAGGCAGGAAAGTGGCTTGAGCCCAGGAGTTTGAGGTTTCGGTGAACTATGATGATGCCATTGCACTCTTGCCCAGCTGACAGAATGGGACTCTTGTCTCAAAAAAACAAAAACACCTGGCATAAAAATAAAATATGAATACTTTCATATATATTAAACTCATAATTCAAAATATTCCTTCATTTGAACTTCAGGCATAGGTAGCTTCAATGAATTCTTCTAAATTTAATGAAGAAATAACACTGATCTTATACACACTCTTTAAGAGAATTAAGAGGTAATATCCCAGTTCGCGTTATAAAGCAGCATAGCCTAAGTAGCAAGACTTGACAAGGACTTTACAAGAAACAAAATTTTTAGCTAGTCTCATGAGCGATAAGTATTAAAATTCTAAACAAAATATTAGCAAATTGAATCCAGCAATACATAAAAAAGGTAACATATCACAAACACATTTGTTGTATTCTGGGGATGCAAAGTAGGTCTAGTACTCAAAATTCTAGTGTTGCTATTCACCATCTTGATAGAAAAAAGAAAAATCATATCCTCATCTCAGGAGAAGATTTATTAAAATTTAACACCATTCATAATTGAGAACTATTAGTAAGCCAAAAATATATGGAAATTTCCTTAATGTGATAAAGGATATCTACAAAGAAACTTACAGCAAACACTATGTTAAATCATAAAATACTGAAAACTTTCTCTGAGGTCTGGAATAAGGGAAAGACATTCACTGTCAGCACTTCTATTTGATATATTGGAGATCCTTGTCAGTGAAGTTTTGAAAGAGAAATAAAAAGCAATAAAGTTTGGAAAGGCAGAAATAAAGCTCTCATTATTCACTGATGACATGATTGTTTACATAGTAAATTTAAAAGAATCTACAGATAAAGTCTTAGAATTAATCAGTGAATTTGGCAAGGTCTCTTGGATACTAGTATTTCATTTAGAAATCAACAATATTTCTGTATGCTAGCCACAGATAGTTTAAAAATAAAATTTAAAAGATATTTATATTATTACTTTCTAATTTAAATATATTTAATTTAGCATTCAAATACATCAGATACCTAGAAAATAATGAAAGATGAACTCTACACATAATGCTATAAAAATTAGAAAAAGGAAGATATAAATAAATAGGTATGTAATTTTTATTCAAGAGACTATAAAGTCATTTTTTCATTAATTGATGTACAGATTTAATGATCTCAGTCAAAATCTCAAAATGCTCTTGGGGCGGGGGCGGGGGTGGGGGTAGGAAATGGCAACCTGGTCCTAAAATAAAAATGAGAATCCCAATTACCAGCAGTAGTTGAAGAAAATGTTGAAGAAAAAGATGGAAGATGGAGGACTTATAGTTCCAAATACCAAGATTAGACCTATAATTGAAAGGGTGGTATTGATATAAGAATAAGCAGACTCATGGAACAGAATTCAGTGATGTCTTTCAACAAATGGTGCTCCATCAATGGAAAAATCACACTTTTTGTGCAAGAATATCAATTCCAGATGAATGAGTCATAAATATAAGTGATAAATTAGACAAAAAAAAAAATAAATTTTGAAAAAGTAAAGGAGGGAATAGTAAATATTAGGAGCAGATTTTTTTGTTTGTTTTTTAAGAGCAGATATTAATGCAGTGGAAAACAAAGCCATGGATAAAGGATATACATTGTATGATTCCATTTATACTTAGTTCAAAAATAGGAAAGCCAATTAATAGTGATAGAAGTCCATATAGTGGTTACCTGGCACAGGAGATGTGGATAACAACGGACTTGTTGTTATCCACAAGTGAATGATGATTTGGAGTGTACATGTGCTTGGCTTCTGGGGTACTGGTGATGTGGTATATTAATGATTCTCAAAATGTAATCTGTGGACACCTGGGTAACTGTGACCTTTGTAGGGAGTTTAATGAGGTCAAAACTGTTTCCATAAGATATATATTATTTGTCTTTTCCTTTATATTTGCATTTTCACTGATGTAGCAAAAGCAATGATATATAAACCTCCTGGCACCTAAGCACAAATTAATGTAGTGACACCTAACTATACTAGTAGTCATTGTATTCTTCACTGTCACCCTCAGTTTAAATGAAAAAAAAATGCTAGTTTTACTTAAGAATGTCCTTGATAAAGCAGGAAAATAGTTTTATTAAGTCATGACCTTTGAGTACATGTCTTCTTAATATTCTGTATAATGAAATGGGGATATGCATAGAGCACATCTGCACATCTAACTACAAACGGAAGTACAGTGGTTGCTTCAAGGAAAAGCATTTGTGTGATTGAGTTGGAAGCTGAACTAGCTGCTTTGCTCATAGGTCACGGTTTTTACTTGAAAGAACAGCTGACAGTGATTTTTTAATTTGGGTATCTGTCAGATGTTTTCTTGAAGATGAACAAAGTGAGTCTGTCACTTCAAGGAAAAGAATTGACAATATCTATTGCCAGTGATAAAATTTTAGCTTTTAAGCAAAAAGTAGAATGTTAGAAAACTTATATCCACCTCAGCGAGTCTGATAGCTTCCTAGTCTTTAAAAAAAGGATTTTTCTAGTGAGGTTGGTAGTGATCGTAACAAATGTAATTTTTTAATGGAACAGAGGATGAAAAATTTGTTATGGTCTAAGATTCTACATTGCAACCAATCTTTAAAAAGTTGCCACTTGCCGTGTTTTGGTGTATTATCAAAGAAGACAGTTATCTGAAAAGTCTGTTAAATATTCCTCCCTTTACCAAGTTTCTTTATACTTCCACCCAAATAACATATTGCAACAGATTGAATTCAGAAGTAGATACGAGAATCTAGCTGTTTTCTATTAAGTTGGACATTGAGATTTACAAAAATATAAAATTATTACTCTTCTCATTTTATTTATTGGGGAAATTTTTTTAATGTTAACATGTAATTGTTATTTTAAAATTAATAAAAATTTTAAAATTTTTGAGTTTCAGTTTCTCATAGACCAATTATTGATTTATAACCATAAGCAAAAGCCTCCATGGTTCTTAGTTTTTAATACAGAAAAGGGATCTGAGACCAGTTTGACAACTGCTGTTCTATACTTTGATCTGTGTGATTACATGTATATATGCCCATTTTGTAATAAATAAAATAATTTGTGTACTTTACTCTAACATACTTAATAAAAAGTTTATCCTTCCTCCAAATAAAAAAAAGAGTTGTCTAAGATAATGGAGAGTAGTTCTGGCTTGAGAGATAGGTAACTATGCATGGACAGGAGAGAATGAGCAGCCACGTAAATCACTATGGAATGCTTATACTTTGTTGATACTATTTTGTATAATAACTTTTTAATTATTCCTAGGAGTCCATAAGGTTGACTTTTATGAAATTTATACTTGAAGTATTTACAAGAAAAATCTTGGCCAGAGTTTTCTTTATTCATTCTTGTTTTTTCTTATACTCTTTCCCCTATGTATTTCTTTTCTTTTTTTTTTTTTTTTTTTTGTGAGACAAAGTCTCACTTTGTTGCCCAGGCTAGAGTGAGTGCCATGGCGTCAGCCTAGCTCACAGCAACCTCAAACTCCTGGGCTCAAGCAATCCTGCTGCCTCAGCCTCCCAAGTAACTGGGACTACAGGCATGCGCCACCATGCCAGGCTAATTTTTTCTATATATATTAGTTGGCCAATTAATTTCTTTCTATTTATAGTAGAGATGGGGTCTCACTCTTGCTCAGGCTGGTTTCGAACTCCTGACCTTGAGCGATCCACCCGCCTCGGCCTCCCAGAGTGCTAGGATTACAGGCGTGAGCCACCACGCCCGGCCTCCCCTATGTATTTCTTAGACACTTATTTGTTCCTAGCTGATGTCAGTGTGGAGCAGTTTAGCTTTGCCTTAAGTATAGAGGGATATATGCCTAGTTTTTCATATATTCCGCCTCTTTTGACAAATGTTAGTATGCATTGAGCATGATCCTTATTTCAACACAGACAGAAGAAGCATGATCAATTGGTTACTAAATTCAGCAAATACCTATTAACTATATACTGAGCAGAAAACATTATGTTGTTTGTGCTTGCTTATTGAGAACTCAAGGAGCAAACAGTCTAGTGGTAGACCATAAAGCCAAATGTGTTAATTGTTCTGATAAAAGTAGGAGCATAGAAAGAAAGTTGATTGTAGCATCTGAACAGAACCTTGAAGGATGGTTTTTCTGTTTTAAAAATACATTTTTTAAGTTTCTAATTAAAAATTACAATGGTTATTATAGACAAACTAAAGCACTATAAAAATGTACACTATCAAGTGTAAAAGTCTTCAGGAGTCCCTAGCCCCTGCCAGATAACCATTGTTAATAATTTGGCATACAGTTCACATCTAATGCATATATTAGCATATTGCTTTTAAAAATTAGGTCATATTTATGACTTTGTGAATGTGTTGGGCAATTAAGTCTCAAATTTTCAGTGTTGAAACACTGATATCAGTGGTATTTTTGAAAACTAGTTTTTGATGCCTAAGATTTTGACAGAGCAGTAGTTTTGCTTACAGCTTGATCAAAAATAAATTATGCAGTATAGAAATATTTAACAGTAAAAATCTGTAATCCTCTCATTAAATGTTTATGGACTACTTATACCTCATAGTAAATTGAATTTATGTACCTCTGGACATTTATGACCTTTAGTTTGAGAGTTTTGGGAAAATTATTTCATGGTGAACATGGAGTTATTGATGAGGGGCATGATATTGAGGTAAGCACCAAAGGAAAGATCACTGATAATTATGTCTTACTGTCATACGCATGCTTGGTTGCATTTTTGTAGGGTTGCTTAAAAGAACTCTCTATAGTAAGAACTACTTACTCAGTTGTTGCTTTTCTTTTCAGGTAACATTGTACAACACTGATCAGGATGGTAGTGATAGCCCACGCAGTAGCCTTAACAACAGTCTCTCAGACCAGAGTTTGGCATCTGTTAATTTGAACAGTGTTGGAAGTGTGCATAGTTATACTCCGGTAAGTCTTGGTAAAGTTGGTATCTTTGTTGAGTATTCGTTTAGTACTTAAAACTCAACTAAGTGTAATTGGAATGCAAATAAAAAATAAAGACGTGTATTTCTCACTAATTCATTAACTTAGTGAGTAGATCAGGCTTAAGCAGAGCAGATTTTACCTAGATAGTGTTATAATTTGGTACTTATATTTTACTAAATTACATATTTTGGTCTACTTTGTTCTGCGTCTAAGTGAAAAGCAATTGGGGCTGGGTGTGGTGGCTCATGCCCATAATCACAGCACTTTGGGAGGCTAAGGCAGGAAGACTGTTTGATGCCAGGAGTTTGAGACCAGCCTGGGCAACATAGTGAAACCCCATCTCTACAAAAAAAAAAAAAAAAAGCCCAGTGTACTGGTGCATGCCTGTAGTCCTAGCTATTTATGAGGGCTGAGGTGGGAGGATCACTTGAGCCTGGGAGTTGGAGGTTACAGTGAACTATGGTTGTGCCATTGCATTCTAGTCTGTGTGACAGTGAGACCCTGGCTCCAAAAAAGAAAAAAAAGTATATGGGAAGATATGCATAGGTTATATGCAAACACTATGCCATTTTATATAAGGGACTTGAGCATTTGTGCATTTTGGTATCCTGGGTGGGGGGATCTTTCTAACTAATCCCCTGTGGATACTGAGGGATGACTGTATCTGGACACATTATGGCAAATTTTAAAATTTCAGAAGTAATCACCCATATAAATACTTTGGGAGAAAAAGTAAGTTACATATAAAGAAACACAAATCAGACTTCTCTTCAATAATACTAAATGCCAGAAGATAATGGAGCACTTTATATGGAGTTTTAAGGGAATAGATTTGGAATAACAAATGTTAGGCCCAGCCAGTGTTTTATTTGCGAAGGCAAGAGAAAGACATTCTTTGATATGCAGAGCTTAGAAAGTATCCTGCCCTGTTTTCATGTGTCCTCCCCCCCCCCAAATTACTTAACTGATCAAGAGGTGAATCAAATTAAAGATTCAGTAATGATGAAGTCATGATATAAAAAGACTAGTTGGAGCATTGAGGCAAACTAAACAGAGATTTAATGATTTTTAAGTTGCTTTTTAAAATAATTTAAATGTTAAAAATCTTGACCAAAAGAAGTCAAAGAACAGAGAATAATATCACAAAATATAATAACAGGGAAAATTAAAGAAGCCCTTATGGAACTAGTTGACAGTAAGAACTAACATGTTCATTATGCCAATAAATGTAAGAAGCTTAAACTCTCCTATTAAAAGCTTGGGCTGGGCATGGTGGCTGGTGCTTGTAATCTTGGCACTTTGCAGAGGCCCAGGTAGGAGGATTGCTTGAGGCCCAGTGTTCAAGACTAGCCTGAGCAAGAGTGAGACCCTGTCTCTACAAAAAATAGAAAAATTAGCAGGGTGTGATGGCACATGCCTGTAGACCCAGCTACTTGGGAGGTTGAGGCAGGGAGATTGCTTGAGCCCAGCATTCAAGACTGCGGTGAGCTCTGTGATGACACCACTGCACTCCAGCAAGGGTGATAGAGCAAGACCCTGATTCAAATGAATAGATAAGTAGATAAGAAAAGATAGACTGCTATTTTCATATAATAATAAAATGTCAAGCGGTCAACCAGTCCTTAAGCAACAATGCAGTGGCAGCTGCTGGTTGGGTTTGTCACATATTCATAGATAGAGCCTGTAAGGCCACAGTGAGCCCATGTAGATTGAGATAGTTTTATTATTTATGCAGACTGTATAAGCCAATCAGCGTGGTGTCAGCTTCCTGCATCTCATCCTTGGCAATACCAAGACAGAGGACCAGATGACAGACTACATGAGTAGTAGGTTACTTTGTAATGAAGGAACAAATTCCATACTGCAGCTAAGCAGTCTTATAACCTGCAGCTGTACCACAAGAAATAAGGCAGAAAGTTCCATGCCTCACATAGCCAAGGAGATAGATGAGAAACTGTTTCTTAGCAACTTCTGGAAAGATAAGAGAAGTGGATAAGAAACTACCCCATGGCTACTATCTGCAGGATAGGGAAGACACATGAGAATTTGCTCCTCATAAAACAACTTGCCATCCCATGTTCCAGGAGAATCACGGGATGTTCCACCAGGGCTTAGATCATCCTGCCATGGAGCTTTGCCTATATGGCCTTTGTGGTGACATATAATGTTACTAGGATGCCAACAGTAGAGCTAGTCCTCTATGTAAAATTCATATTTTCTCATGTTATAGACTCCTTATGGGCATAATTTTGAATGGCTACATGAATTTCTAGTGAGTGTTCATGCCTTCATTTTTCAAAACATTAAACAAATGGTAGTTTACCACCCTTTCATGTAATTGTTAAGAAATTCAGCTGATCATTTTTTATTAATTGTATTTCTGGTTATGCTGCCTTCAAAGATAACTTTTATTTTTAAGATGTTTTGGGTGCTTTTTTCCCCCTTGCATAGGTTGAAGCCCTGATCTGTTCTGTCTTCTTCAGAATCTCCTTTGTTTTTTACCTCTTCATTTCTCTTCATTTTTAAAAATTTCCCTAAAAATGATGAGTTAGGCTTATTTAAGCTCCTTGTTGCTTTGCACAATGCTGTACATCTGAGTCATAGTACTCACATTTGAGTTTACATACTTAAAGATTAATTGAATAAATGAAAGAAATGTTAGTAGCTTCATAGTATAGTGGTGTTTGAGATGAAATTGCTTCTATGGAAATCAAGATGAAGATTCTACAGAAACTGGGGGGAATTCCAAGCCTAATTCATCACTTATTTGTGTATTTGTATGATCTTGGGCAAGTCATTTAACTTCTTTGAACTCTTTCCCCTCTTCTGTGAAATGTGGAGGAGGTTAGATTAGTTATTTCTGTAGTTCTTTAAGATCCAGGTTAACAATTTTGCTGTCTGTTCTTTTTTTATGTGTACCCAACTTAACAAAGGATGGGAAAGCCTAAAACAGAAAAGTTTGTTTCCTTGGGATTCCAATGTTGGCACTAATGTTTGCAGTTATATATTTTATTTAACAAACAAATTATAACATATAGCCACTGAATTAGTTTTGTTTTCTTTTAATGTTAGGTGACAAACCATCCAGAACCAGTCTCTCAATCATTAACTCCTCAGCAGCAGCCACAGTACAACCTTCCAGAACGAGACAAACAACTTCTTTTCTCAGAATATAATTTTGAAGATCTTAGTGCCTCATTTCGGAGTCTTTATAAGTCAGTTTTTGAGCAGTCACTTAGTCAACAAGGTGAGTTTTTTAATATCTTTTCTATAAACATAGATGTTTATTGAAAAAAGGTGTTAAAATTACTTTCACACAGCCATTGTTATACTTTCTTAATCTTATTATCATCATAATTAGAATTGGATGATTATATTATGTCCCATGCCTTTATGTTGTGTATATATTTATGTCATAGCTCAAAAATGGAAGATAAATTTCACCCATGCCTTTATGTTGTGTATATATTTATGTCATAGCTCAAAAATGGAAGATAAATTTCATCTTGCATACCTATTCTGCTTGGTTACTAGTGGTGTCCTGGAGCATTGTGTTGGAGAATTTTGACACTGCATCTATGCTATGTGGGAAAGACTGCCATGATTAATTAGCGATGTTTGGCATGTAAAGTATTTGAGTAGCACATGTTGCACCAAAAGAATAGATGTACCTTGCATTTATTCTCACTGTTATTAGCAAAGATAATAGTTACTGGAATGTTGTAGCACCAAATTTGTGATTGCGTGTGTGGCACTTATACATGGACACATAAGCTAGTGGTAAGCTCTGGGTCATTGTTTTACACACATACTTAAATCAGAGTTTAATACTAAAAGTGATTTTAGTTGAGATGCAGTATTGCATCTCAGCCAAATGCTAGATTGTTGCTATAATGTGTTCATGTCCCATTAGCTGCTGGTTTAATTTTAATCAGAGTCATGTGATAGGATCAAAATGTAGAATTATCTTTTCCCTACAGAATGCTAGTCAGAAATTGTTGGGAATTCTCTTGAAGCATTTCCTAGTTACTTATTTGGCAGATTAAGTATTTATACCCCATATTTTATTCCTTTCCTGCTGCTATAACAAAATGCCTTGGAATGGGTAATTTATAAACAACAGAAATTTATTTTTCACAATTCTGGAGATTGGGAAGTCCAGGATCAAGGAGCTGATAGATTTGGTGTCTGGCAAGGGGCCCGTTCCTCATAGATGGTGCCTTCAAGTTGTGTTCTCATATGGAGCCCAACACTGTGTCCTCAAATGGCAGAAGAGATGGCAGGGCAAAAGGGACTAGCTAGTTCCCTTGAGCCCTTTTATAAGGATACTAATCCCTAATCCACCTCCTAAAGGCCTTACCTCTTAATACCATCACCTTGTGGTTTAATTTCCAACATACGAATTTTGGAGGAACACATACATTCAAATTATAGCACCCCAACTCAGAGAGTCTGCTTGTTCACAGCAGTGAGCAAAGTAGACAAAAATTCCTGTCCTTACGCAGTTTGCATTTAATACTTGTCACAAGCTCTGAAAGTTAATATTGTATACTAATGTTATTTATATTGATGAATATTGATAGTATGTACATGAAGTGGCTTTTTCTGGTTTTGGAGTTTAAAGTAAGATTCATATATTTTCTCAATTTTGTCTTAAATTTTCTATCTACAAAAGTATGAAAAGAACTAATAGAAGACTTGGCTAAGCAAGTACAACCTTGGTGTTCATAATAGAAAAATACTGGCTTTGAAATAACAATGGTGACAATTTTTGAAGCCTATAAGTCAGTTTCATCACACTACAACAAAAAAGCATTGGTAGGAATTCTGGGTTCTAGTCTAGATTCTATCATAAAGTCAACTGAGTTAACTTCACCTCTCTGGACCTCAGTGTCCCCATTTGTACAATAAAAATTATTAGACTAGATCAGTGGTTTTTCAAATTCTTCTTTTCAGAGTGCTTGGCTTTTATAAAGGTATTTTATTTTATGTTATGTTACTTATCTTTTTGAGAGATGGGGGTCTCTGTTGCCCAGGCTGCAGTACAGTGGCATCATCATAGCTCATTGCAGCCTCCAACTCCTGGGTGGTCCTCCTGCCTGAGCCTCCCAAGTAGTTAGGACTATAGGCACACACTAACACGCCTGGCTAATTTTAAAATTTTTTTGTAGAGATGGGGGTCTCACCATGTTGCCTAGACTGGTCTTGAACACCTGGCCTTAACCAGTCCTTCTGCCTTGGCCTCCCAAAGTGCTGAGATTATAGGCGTGAGCCACTATGCCTGGCAATTTTATTTTATTTAAAAATAATTTGAGATTAAAAATGTTGGTATAGATCATATATCAAAACTTATCAAATGCTAGGTTTTGGAGGGGGTGCAGTGGCTTGAGCCTATAATCCCAACACTTTGGGAGGCCAGGGTGGATGGATCACTTGAGGCCAGGAGTTTAAGACCAGCCTAGGCAACATGGCAAGACCCCATCTCTACAAAAAATAACAAAAACCAGCCAGACATGATGGTGCACACCTATAATCCTAGCTATTCTGGAGGCTGAGGCAAGTGGATTGCCTGAGCCTGGGAGTTGGAGGTTACAGTGAGGTGTGATCATACCACTGTACTCTAGTCTGGGCAATGGAGTGAGATCTTGTCTCACAAAAACAAAATAAAACAAACAAAAAAACACCCCCCAAAATTAGGATTTTATTGGAAATAGATAATGCGATTACTGCCTTCTTTCATCTTACTGTAATACCTTGTAGATTCCCTATAAATGACTGTTTTCCAGGGCCAAGGCAAAGAAATAGTATTAATTCTTCTACCTATAAAAACTTGTTAAGTTTTAAGGTTATCTTACAGTGTACTCAAGTACATTTTTACTATTAATGACAAATATGAGAATAATTTTATCTTTTTTACAAATTTTGTTTTATTGACTGACACTATCTTGTGGGGTTTTCTTTTTCGTTTAATAAATTTTTTTAGCATTAGGCACTTCTGGCCTAATCACTGTCATAGCGTCTAACATTTACTGAGCTCATCCTGCAGCTTGCACTTGCATTATGGCATTTAATCCTCACAATAACTCTGAAGTAGGTGCTGTTTTCTGGCCCATTTATATAGGTAATTGTGGCTTAGTATGTAAGTAGCAGTGCAGAGACTTTGATCTCCTACTTTCTGATACTATAAAGTTTGCACTCGTAACCCCTAAACTGTATATGTATTAAGAATGTTCCATAATAGTAATTAAAAAGAATAATGGAGATGAATGCCTTGTTTTGCTTAGTCTTAAGGATCCTAGCCACTTTGGTCTTAAGGTTTTTGGAGTCGCCAATGATAAGAGATCAGAAATAACTGGACTTTTATTTCTCCCCTCTTCTTCTGTCAAAGCCTTGGTCTTCATGCCTATAGGAAACCATTCTGGGTGTGACCCAACACCTTTTTCCTACCGTTTACTTGTCTTTCAATATTCAACTCAGTTGTTGTCTGTTTAAGGAAGGCTTCTTTATATCTTGATCTCCTTCTGGCTGAACAGGCAAGGAACAAAGTTTCCATAATCTTCTGTATACTTTTGCTGTATTAATTATATTTTTGGACATAATCTTATTAAATGTCTGTCTTCTCGACTAGACCATGTGCTATTCGAGAGTTGGGGATAATGTTTCTAACTCTCCTCAGGAACCTCAGATCCCAGTGTATAGTGGATGTTGCATAAACACTCGTTAAATCTGAACCGTGTTGCTTCTTGACAACATATGTTTTTGCTCTGTAAATAATTTTGCAAATGTTTGTCATAAAATTCAACTGAAATCTAACCATAAATGATCTTACTCTCTCTGGCTGTTTTTAGGTTTGATGAACATCCCTTCTGAATCTTCCCAGCAATCCCACACTTCGTGTTCCTATCAGCACTCTCCTAGCAGTACAGTGAGCTCTCACCCACACAGCAACCAAAGCAGCCTGTCCAATAGTCATGCCAGTGGCCTCAACACCACAGGCAGTAATTCGGTTGCACAAGTCTCACTGTCCCACCCCCAGATGCACACGCAGCCGTCTCCACATCCACCCCATCGACCGCATGGTTTACCACAGCGTCCCCAGCACCCAGCACCGCACCCACAGCAACACAGCCAGCTCCAGTCCCCTCACCCCCAGCACCCCTCTCCACATCAACACATACAGCACCATCCGAACCATCAGCATCAGACGTTAACACATCAGGCACCCCCACCCCCACAACAGGTATCCTGTAATTCTGGTAAGTTTTTGTCTCCTGGCTTGTGTTTGGCTAACTATGAATTAGGATCTTGGGGCTCATGTAATATTTAATACCAAAACCTATTTTCTGTGTCCTTTTGTGCTTCCTTGCTCTAATCCTATAGTTGTAATTCATTTTTAATCCATGGAGTGACCTGGAGATTTTCTTGATGAAAATTTATTGTGGCAACATAGGCAAGCTCAACAACCCTTGCAGGTTTTGGTTTTAACTTGTTTTGTCCTTCTGCCCATTGGAAGTGTTTTTGTGATCATTTTAAAGGAGAGTGGAGTATACTTTCAGTCTGCATTCTCTTGTGATGTAGTCTGGTATAGAAGAAAGAGCATAGTTTTATGTTGGAAAAGACCTATATTTGAATCCTCATCATAGCTCTTACAATCTTAGGCAAATTATTTAACTTCTTTTAGCCTGTTATTGTCTCATCTGTATAAATGGAACTAAAATACTATGATATACAGTATTGTTAGGATCATGTTGAGAATACAAATGTGAAATGCCTAGACTAGTACTTTGTATTTAAGTATTCATGAATATTGTGCATCTTTTTTTCTTTGCTTATTCCTGCCAAGTATTTCATCCCTGAATGATAGATTGCAAAGGAAGAAAATCTTCTTTATATCCTGCTTTAAAAAAAAAAATCTGTTGCTCTTGAGATAGATCTTGATGGTTTCTGGTGAGGTGCTTAACTGACATTGCTTGCAGGCCAGTCTTTGCACTGTGGAACTCCAACTTGGTGCCATGGACTTTAAAACTACAAAATGAATGAGGCCCCTTACAGTGGTACAAAATACAAGTCCTTCCCTTAGCTTGCCTGGCCTTCCACTTACCAACCATGTCACTGATGAAACTTTTATTCTGGAGGGAAGATTTCTAAATACTAGACAGTGCTAATTGTTATCCACCAATTAAAAATTGATCATTGTTTCAGGCGCTTAGATTGTTGTCAAGGAAACAAGCTTTAGATAGTGCATACTGTCTCTTATATTGTGACTTTACGATAAAGCTTAAATTTTTCTGGAACTGTTTCCTTATTAAATGGAAAAGATAAAGTAAGTTTTAGGGAGAATTAAATGAGATAACATATAAAAATACATAGATATGTACCTGGAATTTAGTAAGTGTTTGATAAGGGTTAATGTCCTATCCCCTTTCTTTCTCATAATTATTCATGAAGTTATTTGAATTAAAATTTGAAATTAAAGGTTTCTTTTTAGTTTTTTTTTCATACTGTTTGTGTTGTTTTACCAAAACAACAAAATTTAATTCCTACTTTGCATATAAACAGATATTTAAATTTTTTGCTTCACAATTGATTTTCTTTTCTTGGTTACAATTTCTAAGTAGGTTCTAGAGTAAAAATGAAAATTATATATAGTTCCTGCCTTGATGGAATATTTCCTAAACATTTTGAAATGATTTTTAGATGTATGCCTAGATAAAATTTACATAATAATAGAGTTTAAATTCTTTTAGTGTTAATTCAGTCACTGTTGCCTCCCTTTAAATATCAATATGTTTTTCAGAAATTTAAGCCTATTAATATGATTTTGGGGATTGACTTATGAACTGGGTATCAGTATAAGTCTGTGATGCTCTGGTCATACCTTTCTTTTCCTTAAGTCTAATGATTTCCAAGGGAGAAAGAAGTACATTGGAACTGAAAATAATCCATGATGTGCCCTTATTGTTCTGTTACACAAATGGTAGCTTGCCGGAGAAGGAAAATAGACTTCCACCCTGGGAAGTTAGGAATAATCATTGTGGTTATGATAATAATTCATCTCTGTGAATTATACACTTATTTATTGAGACTAAGCAGGTTGTCTTTAACAAGGAAGAATGGAGGGAAGAGGGAAGGAATGGAAGGAAGTGCCTATTATATACTAGGCAATTTAGATACATTATCTCATATTATCCTCCCAAATCAAGTATAAATTACCACATTTTATAGTTAGGAAAAGCACAGCTCAAAGAACTTAAGCAATTCGCTCAAGATCACTCTAATAAGTAGTAGCACTGAAGTTTATATCCTGACTTTGAAGCTTGTAACATCAGTTATTCTAAAAGGACTAAAATTAGCAGACACTGAGTGGGTAGGGTTTATTCAACTACTCTCTGCAGTTTGCTTTATTTTTGTTGGCCAAGTCAGCATTTATTAAAGGAGCTTCCTCACTCTCCTACCCCTAACAACCACAAAAAATTAGTTGTGACAAGAGTGCCCTAGTTCCTTGGCATAATTCCATGTACTACCCTGAGCCTTTGACTACCTGTGTTGTGTTTCTTTTTTTCTTTAATTTTTTCTTTCTTTTTTTTTTATTAATTTTTAAAATATTCTTTTTTTTTCCCCACCTGAACTCATACTTGCAGTACATACCTGTGTTGTGTTTACCTCAGGAGATCTAGATGCTAATACTGCTTTGACTATTTTAGTACCTAAAATACTATTAAGGTTACTTTAGTCATATAATTCCTTTGAACCTTGGTTTCCTTATCTATGAAGTTCTTCCTGTACTAGAGGATCTGAGTCTGGTAGACTTGCATGTTTGTGGCTTGTTTGGGGCATTAGTTTAACATTCACCCCTGACCCCAAACAAATTTCTTCCTAAATTGTGAGTTGGTTGAGGGCAGAGTCATATTGTCTCTAGTTAATTTTTTATTTAAAAAGTCTATGATTGGCAGACTTTTATAAATCAAGTAGCCAGTAGTTGATACAGCTATGAGTTGTCTGCAATGTAGCAAAAAACCCTTTTTATTACTTTTTACCTTCATCCATCCAGGAGTGATCCTACAGTGACTTGGCAGGAATTGCTGAATAGAGGATTTTCTTCCTCCATTCAGCACTATCTCATTGAGGGCAACTCTTGCATGGCCCCTGACTGGTGACCACTTTGCTTATATACAGACTGTGGAAGTCTTAAGTTCTTCTGATAATGTCACATCAGATGATACCATTCCTGACTAGAAATACCCTGACCTGGATTCATCAGTATTTTTTTTTTTTATTTCGGCATATTATGGGGGTACAGATTTTAAGGTTTCAATAAATGCCCATTTCCCCCCCTCCCCCCAAAAGTCTGAGTCTCCATCATGACCATCCCCCAGATGGTACACATCTCACTCATTATGTATGTATATACCCGCCCCCCCTCCCCCCTCCCCCCTGCCCAATACCCTATTACTGTAGTACCTATGTGTCCACTTAGGTGCTCATCAGTATTTTTTATAGATGTCTCAGACCTCTTCCTCACTACTTTGGCAGGAGGACTGTGTTAAATTTCTCTCTTCTAAGGTTGCCTTGTAAGAAGCATCCACTCTTATTATGTGATCTAATTTATATCCCTTAATTTAGTGCATTAAATTATACTCTGCATTGCTTCTAAATGTGAACTTGTCTCTATAATTTATGAAAAGCATATCTTTTAAGGTCAAATAAGACAGGAAAATGAACTTTATATAGGGGAAAATATACTGATTTGCATGACTTTTCTTGCGTGCTCATTTATTTGTACTACACAAATGTAAAGAGCAGTATCAGTTTGACTTTATTAGGTGATGTGGCAATTTGCAAGCTGCCAGACAAGAGGTTAGAAGACCTGGGTTCAAAGCTTAGGTTCATCAGGGTGACCTTACTAAGTTATACCATCTCTCTGGGTTCAGTTTCTTTTATTTGTAATATGAGAGAAATAATACCCTTCTGCCTGTCTCAGAAAAGATTGCCCCAACACATGATATAATTGGTTCAACTTCCGTTGTAAGGCTGGACAAGGATCAGCCAATGTCAAGAATAAGAGGCCAGCTCGTTGCCTTCCCTAACATACATTTCACTCTTTGATGAGCCAAGATTTATAGTATTGTCACTGATATTTTTACAGGTGTTTCAAATGATTGGTATGCAACACTTGATATGCTAAAAGAAAGTTGTCGAATTGCCAGCAGTGTTAATTGGTCAGACGTAGATCTTTCACAGTTTCAAGGTGAGTATTGGTTCCTTTTGACTTATAACCAAATACGCAATGATCCTATTTTCTCTGGTAGATAAGTTTCTTTGTAGAAATAAACATATCATTATGTAGTTTCTTTTGGAGTTGGTAGTATACTTAGAAACATAGTTTGTGGAGTTATGCTGTAGGTAGCTCTAAAGCTCAGGTAAGGCTTCTTGGAGAAGGAGGTGAGGCTGCTTGTGGGAGCCTAGATGGAGGTACCCACATTGACCCTGCATGGTGGTTGGCATTTTCTCCTGAGCCCCTTGGTTGGTATTTTTCTCCCTGATCTGGGAATGAGGGCTAGTTTAAGAAAGTAGCTAGAAATGTTTGAGGTGGCCTCACCTAAACTAAATCCAACTATTTGTCTACTATCATTTCTCTCTCTGGGCCTCAGTATCAACCACCACCCACCACTCCACACCCATGTCCCGTGGCCCTTTCAGCTGTCTGTTTTGGTGCAGAGTGGGGGGCGGTGATAATGGGTTGAGGGGCCAGAGTAGTGATTAAACTCTTGTGGTTTTGGCGTCAGAGGATTTCACCTTTAACTGGCTGTGGGGCTTCCCTGTTTGAAAATTGGTCTTCTTTTAAACATGCTTCCCTACCAGGATGGAATTAAGATGATGACCCTAAGGCGTTAGCACAGCTCCAGGCACTTAGAAAGCCCTGAGCAGTGTTTGTTGCTGGTGCTATTACCCTCTGGGCTGCCAGGGCAGGATGCCACAGCCTGTAGCAATTCTTTGTATCTTTTCTGGTCTTCCCCCCCCCCCACATGCATCCTTGCTGCCCTCTGTTATGAGCCCCCAAGTCTCTATACCTATCTCCTGCCCCTCTGTCACCATCCTCTTGACCTGTGAGGGTTAAATGAGTAGGTGCTAAGTCCTGAGCCTGCTTTCCCTACAGATCACCCAGCCCTGCTCCACCCTGCTGCACCTCCGCCTCCTAAAAACAAACAAACAAAACCCCCCTAAAAACCCCCAACACTTTGTAAAATTCCTAATAAAGAGTTTTGACCAGTTGACATAGCAGAGGGTCACAGATAAGAATTCCGAAAGAAATTTGGCAACATTTAAAAGAATTAAACTTTGAATAATTTTAAAACATTATTCTTCATTGCATGGGCAGAATCACTACTATAATTCAGAATGAGCCAGTGGAAATTGTGAGGGCTGAAAAAAATTATATCTTGCTATTTTCCTTGCAGTGTTTGCAGAACTGTACTAACTGTTTCTAATGCTTTCCTCACAGGTCTGATGGAGAGTATGAGACAGGCAGATCTCAAGAACTGGTCTTTAGATCAGGTTCAGTTTGCCGATCTCTGTTCTTCTCTTAATCAGTTCTTTACACAAACTGGCCTTATTCACTCACAGAGTAATGTTCAGCAAAATGTTTGTCATGGTGCCATGCATCCAACCAAACCTTCCCAACACATTGGAACAGGTATGTGCTTAGTTATCGTCTTGATTTTCTCTTTTTCTCTTTCATATGAAATTTAATAACTGTCTAAGGCAACTTGGTATGTCAGTAATGGTGACAGTGATCCATTTATATCTTTTTTATTTGTAAGGAATGAAAGCAAATAATTTGTATACAGTGTCACTTAGAAAAATTGACATAGACTGTTTTTCTGTCGTGATTTATATGATTGTTTTATTACTTACAATTAACTTCCCTTAGTGATCTTTAACTTTTTATTAAGTTATCTAACAACAATAAATGTCTTAAAGATATTTATGTTTTTATAAGGACATAGGAAGTTATATCAACTTAAATTTGTACAGATTTGAAACGGAAATCAAAATGTATTTTATATCTTCTAAGAATGTTAAACAAAATTCAACAAAGTTCAAAGTTTACTTGAAGAGTAGACGTAATGATAGATAGTCTCACTGATATTTTATCTTGACCCAAAATATTTGCTGTGTATTTTTTATCTCACTTTCTCTACTCTTTACCCTTGTAGCCATGTCTTCTGTTCTGATTTCAGTGCCTGCATTTTTCTGTAAGAATTTCATATCCAAGTTATTTCTCTCTTTATTTTAATTTCTTCTCTTATCTCCAAGTGTATTTCTTTACTGTGTATCTCTTCTCTATTCTGAGTGGCTTCCTTTAACTATTATCCTATCTTATTTCATATCTTTTGTCCACCTGCATTCTCAAGATCATCAGTCTGGCTGTGTCTCTCTTTTCATGAAATCGTAATTTCAATTCTGTGACCTAAATCTCTAAGAAAGCTCTTTGTGTGCATTTTGGTCTTGGAACTTGGTATTTTGGTCATGGAGAAAGCACTGTTCATCTGCTGTTGTCCTCTGTCAGAGTGGCCAACTACCCCTTCTAGATTCTCTATGAACTGAGAGCCTGAGTTATTTTCCTAAAGCCCTTTGTTCCTAGACGTCTATGGTCATTTGACCTTGATTATTTGGTTCTAGTGTTAGGTGATTCTGTTAATTTTTCTGTCCTCTTTCCTTTATATTGCCAGGGCCCTTCTTCTCTCAAGGGTTCCCACAGCTCCTTTTTCAATGCTATTCTAGTCACAGCCTATCAAAGGTAGAAGAACTATAGTTTTTCTTTAGTGTTTATTCAACTTTTCAAACTCTGTTTTCTTTCTTCCTTTCCGTCTGACTTAAAGGCACTTGAGCCAGGCCTGGCCTGCCAAGCCATGCCTCTGACAAATACTTTTTCAGTGAAATTCTGTTGCTCCACATATCCATCACCTCATGCCCACTGATGTCTATTTACAGATATTTAGATTATTTCTTACATGTCCACTCTGCTGCTGCTTGTTTTAAGTGCCTCTTTCTGTCATTCTTTTTACATCCCTATACATTAAATTCATTCAGATATCTTACTTCTCTTATCTCTACACCCCAGTAAGTCTTTGCCACATTTTCTTAGAAATGTAGTATAACAGGGGACTTCAGAGAGCTGTTAATTTTATCCTTTTATTTAACAGTTAAGGAAATTGTGATACAGAGAAAGAAAGTATCTTGCCCAAAGTTATAAAGTTTATTTGGGTATAGGTGTTGACATATCCTTCAAACCTTTCCTGTCATTCTTGTCTCTAAGGCTCCCCTGTTTTGGTGATTTGAGCTCCTTAGAGATTCCAGAAATTAGTGGTGTAGTATGTTAGTGTGGAAGAGGGAAGGACAGAAGGATGTTATAGAACACAGTCTCTCACCTTAAATCATTTTACGTGTGTTTACAATTTAAGTATTCTAGTTATGCTATTCTTATTCGACTCTCTGTTTAAGGTCTTTAGATATAGGTAAGTGTGCATTCATTCAGCAGCAATTTATTTATACCATTTCTGTGCCTGGCTATGTATTGGGCACTAGGAATAAAATAATGACTCTAGAATAGCCCCTGTCAACCAAAGAGCTCACAGCCCGATGGGTGAGACAGGTCCATCAAGAAGTACAGTATATTGAGGGGCTACCCTTCTACCTTCTACCAGGGGGTGTAAGTGCAAGGGGAATTCAGAGAAAGGGGCTTAATCCTCATTATTTATGACCTTTTCTCCTGCTCTGCCTTCCTCTACCCCCATGCTCTAATACTACCAGTCTCCCTGCTGTTCTTCAAATATAGTAGGTAGCATGCACCACTTACCTGGGCCTTGTACTTGCAGTTTCCTCTCTCTGGAGAGGTCTTTTCCTAGATGGACCTATGATGCATATCTTCATCTCTTTGAAGTTTTATTTCTCAGAAAACACCTACTTAAGGGATGCCTTCCTTGACCATCCTGTATACCCAAAGCCCAGCACTCATTGTCTCCTCCCTCTGCTTTATTTTTCTTCATAGCATGTTAACATGCTATTTAAATTACTTTGTTTGCCCCTATCCTGCACCCCCAATAATATGTGCCAAAAAAGCAGGGAGTTTGTTTTTCATTGCTGTATCCCTGGTGCATAGCACTATATTCCTCATACATAAATACTTACTGGATAAAGAGAGTCTGCTCGATAAATAAATTGTACAATTAGAGTTTTAATTCTCATGACTATATTTTAAATGTTATAGGATCTCAGAAACCTTTGGAAACTTCATTGGAAGTTAATTTCTTGCATAGGAAGTCCAAGCAGCCACTCTCAGACTCTATATTGAGGACATAGGGAAAAAAATGAGAAGTGATATGAATTTCTGTATGAAAATAAAACTGCTAGGAATGTGACAGAATTTCAAAGAGTCTTTCTAATGTAGATATCTGTTTATTCCCATAATCCTTCTCTAATTCCTACCCCCTCTTCCTTTAAAAGGTAAGAATTACTAAGCCATAAAAGAGAAATATAAAAAAAGATTAATCCCCCATAAAAGTTACATCTTTTTTTTCTTGAGACAGAGTCTCGCTTTGTTGCCCAGGCTAGAAGTGAGTGCCATGGCTGCAGCCTAGCTCACAGCAACCTCAAACTCCTGGGCTCAAGCAATCCTGCTGCCTCAGGCTCCCAAGTAGCTGGGACTACAGGCATATGCCACCATGCCCGGCTAATTTTTTCTATATATATTAGTTGGCCAATTAATTTCTTTCTATTTATAGTAGAGATGGGATCTCGCTCTTGCTCAGGCTTGTTTCGAACTCCTGACCTCGAGCAATCCGCCCGCCTCGGCCTCCCAGAGTGCTAGGATTACAGGTGTGAGCCACCACACCGGGCTAGTTATATCTTTTGATTGTGACTTGAACTCTAAGGTTGTGTAGAATGCAAATTGAGATTTTGTAGGAAAGAGGCTGGGAAGTTGTTGGTGTATCAATGACCATATTACTCTGAATGTTATGGCCCCTCCAGCCTGGTGTACAGTCTTTTGGAAGTGCACTAGCCATGCATATGGAAGTACACTAGCTTTTTTTAATCAGCACGTGGGGACAGGATTGTTTCCCCCACAAGAATATTAGAGCAGTAGCTTAGTACAACTTTTCTCCTCTCTTTTCTTCCTAAATCATCATATGGTTAGTTGGTCAAAGAGTTCAGTTCTGACTATAAACTTAACTATAAAAAGGCATGTTATCGTGGGAGGCTGTGTGACTAGGGGGCAGAAGTCTGGCTTCTGTGCCTGATTCTGTCTCATTTCCTCTCTGGTATTATTTCCTCATCTACATGGGCAGAGATAGGGTTGGAATAGATCATCTCTGAGGCCAGCTCAAGTCTGGACAGTCTGGCTCTCCATGAGCAGGTGAAAGCTTAGAAGGAACCAAGTACAGAATGCTCTGACTTTAAAGGGGAAGATTTTTCTTCTCGTTTCAGTTTCCTCTGGGAAAATGATTCCTGTGTTTTAGTTTTATTACAGTATTACTAGAATTCAAGTGTAATCTGTGCAAAACGCTAGAAGACCTTAAGAGTAATAGCCTTTCTAAAATCCCAGATGTTCCTTATAATATGAACCAGTTTTACGGTCCTTCCCCATGAGTTATTGGGGGAGTGGTCGTGATGTTTTTTTCTTCCCTATTTTACATTATGATGCAACATAATTGGCATTTTGGACGTGTTAGAATTGATGGCTCCTGTCAGTGAATAAATATTAACTTAAGGACCTTCTGAAATACCATTTTTTGAATGAGATCTGTGTTTCCCACCTCCTCACTACAAAACAATACGTTTTTAATCACCTTTGCTTGGTGTGGCTCTTTTACCTTGTGCAGATCTCTACTGGTATTTTGTGCCTCCCAGTCTCTTTGTTAATCATTGAGGGCCTGTGTGGTTAGACCTGCTTTGAGGGTGAGAAAATCAGGGCAATAGAGAAATAAGTGATGTAGAAAGAGCCCATGAGTTAGGAGATCTGGATTATAGTCCTCACCCTTAATATGTCTTTGATCAAGTCAGGTTAGCCTTTCTGAGTTTCGATTGCCTCATCTGTAAAATGGGGATAATAATTCCTGTCTTACCTTCCTTGTGGGCTTTATGAGAGGATCCAATGAAGTAATGGATATGAAAATACTTTGGAACTTAGCGACGTATGTAACAACAACAGTAGACATGCTGTGAGCTTACACTTAGTGGCAGCATCAGAATTAGTACCAGAGTGCTCATAGCCAGCCTGGCACTCTGTTGAAAAGTCCAGCACCACCTTTTGGCAGAGTTTTAGTGCCTGAAGGTATCATTTTTCCTTCCTTCCTTTTCTCCTCATCGTACATGCTTAATTTACTTTTAGATAACAATTCTGTTAAAATTGTAATGTTCGACTTGTTTTACTTATGGTAACATATTTTCCCTCTCTGCTTTTTAATCTGATTAGGAAATTTGTACATAGATTCTAGGCAAAATCTCCCTCCTTCAGTGATGCCACCCCCTGGTTATCCTCATCTCCCACAGGCACTCAGCACTCCAGGAACAACTATGGCAGGTAACTGTGTGTCTGTGTGTGTGTGTGTGCTGCAGTTGGTATACAGAATTTAATATTGAAAAACTTCGTCTTTCCCAACAATGAATGAGGCTGCCTCAGGAAGGAGAGAACTAACCCCTGTTAAGGGTGCATAATCTGGACAGCCACTTGATACCAGCTCTGGTGAAGGGATACAAGCATTTAGTGGGTGTTTGGACTGTAGGACCTAAAGTCCCTTTTAGCCTAGGATGCTATTATTCTAATTGTTGTGCTGCCTTTCTAAGAGGTCTAGGGACATAGAGCTGTCTTGGTGTCTTAGGTATTTTTGAGGATATTTGACTTTGAAAGGACTTCTTCAGGAACCTACTTTGATTAGCTCCTGTAGATTCTGCTCCATTCATTCCATTGGAATTCCCCCAGCTATAGTTTCCAGGGAAGTACGTTATAGAGGAGGTAAGTTTTGGGAGTTACTGCTTCATATACTTTTACTCCTAGGTTCCTAAATGTAAGATAAGTTGCATTTAGCCAAGGGAATAGGGCACATTGTTAGAGTTGGAAAAAGGGTCTTGGGGATCACATCTATGTGAGGAAATGGAGGCTCAGGTCACCCAGTTTGGTAAGTAGGCAAAGCAAGACTCTGTATTCAGAGTCCATTGTTTTTCTCACATACCACACAACCCTTTACTTGGGCTATCTGAGGAAAAGACAAAAAGAAATGGGGGGTGGGTGTGAGTTTGAAACTCTGAAAGAACTGTGTGCCAGACGGTAGTGGGACCAAGTGACATGCCCATTGCTAGGGGAAGGAATGTAATCTGTTGTGAGTACTCACTGGTAATTTGTAGGTAGCCTGGTAAGTTTTTTAAGACTCGAGAGCCAGATTGCCAGCATTTGAATTCTGGTGCTTTGCCACTTAATGGCTGTGTGATGTTGGGCAAGCTACCTAACCCTCCTACCTCAGCTTCCCTGTCTATAAAAGGGGGCTAATAATACTACCTAACTCCTGGGGCTGTTGGAATTAAATGAGGATTATATGTAAATTATATAAATTAGCGCCTGGCCCACAGTATGAAATTTGTAAGTTTTTGTTAAACAATTCAAAGAAATACTGCATTTCTGTTATACTATGATATATTGGAAACCTTAGCATTTTGTAAAATTGTACAATAAAATATTTCAGGGCTTATGAGAAAAATAATATTAGCAGCAGACTACTTGAAATTTTGTGATCAGAGTACTAACAAAACAATAATAATCCAGTAAAAAATTCTACAACATTTAAAAGGATATGCTTAATTCCCAATAAAAGAATGAATTCTATAAGTAAATATCAGTCTCTAAAAAAAAGTGAAGTTGGCTTAGAAGTGGGTGTGTCAAGATGAGGAGACATGGGCATAATGCATCAAAATTAGGGGGCACAGGCCGGGCACAGTGTCTCACGCCTGTAATCCCAGTGCTTTGGGAGGACAAGGTGGGAAGATCACTTGAGCCCAGGAGTTTGAGACCAACCTGGCAATATTATAAGACCTATCTCTACAAAAAATAATAATAAAACAATTAGCTAGGTTGGGGTGGCAGGTACCTATAGTCTTAGGTGAGGCTGAGGTGGGAGGATCCCTTGAATCCTGAAGTTCAAGGTTGCAGTGAGGTGTGACCAGGCCACTGTACTCCAGCCTGGATGACAGAGTGAGACCCTTTCTCAAAAATAAATAGATACATAAATGGAGGGAAGAAAAGGAAAAAGCTACTGGGGAGCACAAACAGCACGTGGCCAAACTGATACAAGAAGAAGAGCATGGGGAGGGTGGGCATTGTGCACTCAGCTGTGTTTCTCCATGGTTTACTGTGTTCCCTGTGTTGGTGTTCTCACTTGCTGTTACTTGGTGGCACAGAAATTAACTTACTGGGGGAAATTCAGTATGACCCAGTGTGACGTCATTGGTATACTGCCATCATTCTCCTGTTTACCATTCTTATGTGAGCCAGTTCATGTTACTGAAACATATATTGGAACAGAACAGACTATGAGAGAAATGGTTGCATCAGCACTTTTCTTATGCCTTTCTTATGCTTCACTGCAGCCTGGTATAAAAGGGAATATGGGTTTTGGAGTCAAGTGAAATAACTTGACTTTGTCCCCTACTAGCTATATGTGACTTTGGGTAACTTGCTCATCCTCTTAAACCCCATCTCTATCTCCCTTACCTATAAAATGAGGATCATAAGAGGCACTTGCTTGCTTGCATACTTAGGGGTGGATTAGTGAGATAATGTGTGCTCAGTGCCTGGCACATAGGAAGTGCTCAATAGGGGTTGATTTATTTTTCCTTTCTGTTCTACCCAAGTCACTACTATCACTGCCTCCTTCCTTCTAGGCCATCACGGAGCCATGAACCAGCAGCACATGATGCCTTCCCAAGCCTTCCAGATGCGGCGTTCTCTGCCTCCAGATGACATCCAGGATGACTTTGATTGGGATTCAATTGTGTAGGGCTTATTTCTACAAGGCACCAGACCCCAATGTTACCTTTCTGTGCAGTGAAGGGAAAGGTTTAAGAGAATCCAGTTGAGAATACAAACTTGCTAATCACTTTACCAATGTTATCAAAATTTCTTCTGAAGACAATCAAAAAGATTTTAGCTGGATAACCTACTGCTTTTATTCGATCCAAACAAGTACTACATGTTTGTCTCCCTGCCAGCTGCCCTATGTAGCTCCTAACTGTTGTGTGATTTGGACGGCTTTTTGCATATTTGTGTCAGTTTGATGTTAACCACAAGTGCCAGACTGATTTTTCAGACAGAGCCTATTTTGCTGCAAGCAGTTTATAGATACATATGTGTAAATATATGTACAAAAATTACTGAAAGGCTTCGATTTTTTCTAATTGGATTATTATGTCTTGAAAAGAAAGTTATTGTCAGTTTTTATTCCTTGTTAGGCTATTTTCTGCAGGATGCTTTTAACTGATGTAGGGAACTGAATGGGAATAGATTTTTTCCAAAGCCCAGTTCCCCTTATTTAATCTTTTTCAGAAATGTGGGTAATGAGTTCTACCCAGTAAGTCAAGGAACCCAGAGTTTGAAACTCTCCAAACAATCCAAAGGGGCGTGTTGTTCTGAGCAGCATAGAGAACTGACCAAATTTGTTTTGATGCTTGGGGGATTATAGAGTATATGTTGTACCTTGTCAATGTCTGTTTTTCTAAATCTACATTATAGCAGCTCTAAAATTTGTTGATGGATTACAAGCTGAGCATTGCTTGGCTCTTTAAACAAATCAATGCTTCCATGTTCACTTATGTATTTATTATTCAAAAGTGTTATTTTAATATTTATTGCTACCTTATGTGAATGCTCAGCTCCTATTGGGTTCATTAAGGAGAAATGTGTCTGAAAGCACAGAATTATTTTTCTTGATAAGAGTTTACAGACAAGACAATCAGAGGGATATTGTGTCATTCTCTGTCATCACACCTTTTACCATGTGAGTGTATTTCTGTATCTTAAAGGCATTCCTGTTGATTGAGACTTATTATTTAAATAGGATTTTTATGGAATTTGAATCAGATTCCATTTGAGCAACAGAACAGCAGGGCAGTATTTATAAAGCAAGTTTCGTCACTCATTCTTTTCATCTAGGTAGCACTGAAAGGAGGATAGAGGCACACATGGATTTTATTTGCTTCAGTCTTCATTGCAGATATTGTGTGGTCTGTTGTTTCTGTTGTCCTGTGTGTCTGTGTATGCATGATATTTGGTCACTGTCTTTGAAATGCAGCCCGCCTCTTAGGGGTTTTTACTAAAAGTTGTTTGTTTTGTTTCATATATCACAGTTACTTTGCATGGATTGATTGTCTTAGTTTTATAATAAAACTAGAAGAAATGAGATGCTTTTTAATGAATACAATTTGAATTGGTTTAGTCAAAAAATTCTATCAATTCTAATGGAGAAATATATTATATCAAACAAGGAGTAATAACTGCTCACTGGTTGCTTTTTAGCATCTCTGGTCTCTGTCAGCCATGCTAAGTCACTTTAATTAGCCTTAGTGATTCTATGGTTGAGTACTGTCTACTTGAACTGAACAAACATCTTTGTGTGTGTGCACATGCGTGTGTGCATACGTGTGCGTGTGCAAGAGATAGTGTGAATGTGTGTTTGTGTATTTTTTTAATGGAGTGTTGCCTTGAATGAATCACTGGGAAGCCAGCCATGGTTAAGGGCTGGTGAGGTTGGGGAGAAAGGAAGAGCTTTATGTTTCTCTGTTGTTTGGATCCTGCTCGGCATGAAAAAGGAAGCTCAGTTCCAGCCCCTTGGATCAACGAAAATCAGAGGATTCTGGAAAGGCAGCCAACTGGCCCCTCTTAGAAGGATCAGAGGCAAGATGAGATGGCAGCTTGCAGAGTAAAAACTTGAAAAAAGGGGGCAATTTTCAGTAGTCTGCTCAAGTCACTGTTTTCTAGACACCAAAATAGCTGTTTTGAAACTGTTTAAATTGCTTGGGTGGCAATGTGCACTTTAAACAATTTGGGTATTGGAATGTGGTCTCTTATACTGAGTGATTTGGGTAGAGCCACTGATGATGATTTTACAAATTGTGTGAAGCTAATTTCCCATTTGGCAATCATTTACCAATTTGCAGTGATCAATATTTTTATGAGAATTTAAACTTACCAAGAATGACCCTGGAGGCAAAGCCTTCACCCAGACCCATCCTACTCTTCTGTGATCCATGTGGCCCAGGAGCCCAGGACAGGCCTTCTCTGGGCCCTGGCCAGACAGGGCTACCTGGTGAGGTGCAGGGAGTTCCTCTAGTGGCCATTTCACTTGGTAGTTATTAATACAGAGCAAGTTCTGTCTTGGGCTTAAATTGACTGAAAACTTTTGGGGAAAAGAATAATAAATGCATGTAATCAAATGGGGGCACTCTGTCCAGGAGAATAATCCGACTGGCATTTGTGGCAGTTTTTGAAATGTAAATGTATTCATGTGTGTGCTTGTAAATACGTGTCTCTCAGATGTCCTTTGAAGTGGGAGGGAATCAATCCGGGGATAATTTCAAATGGAATAGAGTATTTTGATATTGTTCATTCAGAGGGTGATGTGTACATATCTATATTGTATATATGTGATGAAAATGCATTGGCTTTTGTGTAAACACAACCTGCTCTCCGTACTGCTGTTGGACAGTCAGTGTTTTAATGTTTCTACAGTTTTGCTATTGCACGATTTCATATTTTGCCTCTATGATGAATGGCACCCATTCTTTGTAACTGTTTAGTGCTGTAAAGAAATATTCCAAGTGTCATTAGGATTGTTGCTGCCAGAACTGATATGCATGAATGGCACTTAAAATAAATATATTATGTTAACTCTATTTACAACACTGATTGATCTGTGTCATTCGCTGCAATTGAAGGAGTAGGATTGGAGCTAGTCCAGATGCAGAAATCTCACAACCAGGACCCCTGAGTCCTTGAGGTCTCTGAGATTGTGTCCCATGTATTGCTGCCTCAGAACTGTAAATGTTGTCGTTTATTGAGCATCATTTCACCAAGCATCATTCTCCTCATTTACAGTGCCTATACAATGAAGATAATACCTGCCTCCCAGAGTTATAGTGGGATTACATAAACCACCATTTATAACACATTAACTGCCATGTGAGTTGTATTTAACTCATGCTAGTTTTGAGCCCAGGGCTTTGTGAAGCATATGTAACTCATACATCTCTTCACCTTGGGAGCTACGTGAACTATTTTTAAGATTGCATATAACTCACACACAGAAAACAGTAAAAAATAACAAATTTTTCATTAAATTAGAAAAGATCGTTTTGGGTTTTTTTTTGTTTTGTCCCAGTCCCCCCTTACTCCCCAATCGTTTTGTTTTTGAAGTTTTTCTATTTTTGTACTAAAACACCGTGGCCCCAAGGAAAAAAAAATTTTTTCTAGTGTGGCAGTGTCTTAAAGAAACATTTAGAACAGCACCTGGGACGTAAAGCATACTGGTACTCAGTATGTAGCAGGTGCTGTGCTAAGTAGATGTTGTAGTCCTCATTTTACAGACATGGAAACAGCTGAGATAGAGGTATAGTGACTAGATCTTTAGTTGGTAGGTGACAGCTGAGGTTTGAATTCAGGTCATTTGCTCCAAGCATCATGTCCTTCTATACGATCTTCTCTTCCCCTGCCCTTGCCCCTGGTGTTGTCCCCAGCACTGCCTTCCCAGAGAGCTATTTCCAAAAGGTTAAAGTGGACCTTTTTTCTTTTTTTTTTTAAATTGCTAACTCTGTATAAAGCTCTCCCTTGAGAAATCCAGAGATAAAGAAACCACTGTTCCTGCTGTTAGGGGGCACAGACTTGCCCAGGACAGGTAGCAAATCCCAGCTCAGAGAAAATGCCCAGAGAGGCTACTCTGAATGTATGCCCAGGCAAGGCAAGATGCTGGGCATTGTGGCAGTGGTTTAGGAAAGCCTTGGGGTGGGTGTGGACTATTAAGTTGGGTCTTCAGAGGGCCTTAGACAGACAGAAGAAGGTATTTCCATTTTTATCTCTCCTATCCCCCCACCTCTCTCCATGTGACATGCCTGCTCCCCCTTTACCTTCTCCCTTGATTGGAAGCTTCTTGAAGTCCTCACCAGAAGCAGATGCTGGTGCTATGCTTCTCGTACAGTCTGCAGAACTGTGGGCCAGATAAACCTCCTTTCTTTATAAATTACCCAGCTTCAGATACTCCTTTATAGCAACGCAAAATGGACTACAATGTCTGTTTATTACAATTTTACAGGAAACAGGCTCAGAAAGGTTAACTTACCTAAATTCTCACAGCTAGTAGAGGATCTGGGATAATTCAGTCTAGGCCTGACTTCAGAGTTCATTTCCTTTTACCCCACTGCTTTCTAAAAAGAGGAATTTTCCTAAAGCCAAGGATAGTGATTATCCACCATGTGTGTGTCCTTTGAAGGGAGGACTGTGCTTTACACCCATCATAGGTAAGTTTTGGTCACTAACAGTATCTCTAAAGGACTGTAGTCGGGGCATAGTCAAATCTGGTCACCTTTTGCTGATTCAGATACAGCCGAACTGTGCTTCTGCTGATCAAATGAACAAAGTAAGATCATTAAGATAGATGCATGTTTAGGTCTCAAGGGTGTAATGTGTTACAGTGTGCAAAGGGATGCTTTTCATAGATGGGACCCTCATCAGCTGAGTAAAGCAGTCCTGGAGAAACCATGGAAGCATCAGTTTCCTTTCATTGAAGGCTTGCCTGCATCTAAATGCCCTGCAATCACAGAGCTATCCTAAAAGCTTCAAGCTAGAAGGGACCTTAGGAATCATCTAATACAACCCCACATTTTGTTGTTTAGAACATCGAGACCCAGAGAGGGAAGCAACTTGTTCAAGTCATAGCTAGTTAGAGAATTTGAGGAAGGGGAATGAAGAATATCATTGACCTGGCAGCAATTTAAAATTCCTGCACACATTGTCTTATTTGATCTACACAATAACCTGATGATGCAGTACCGTTAGTGCTCCATTTTACAAAAGAGGAAACAGCTTTGGAGAGGTAAGGCACAATGGAGTTGCATCATGAATGCATTCAGTCAAAGTATGCAAATTCATACATATTTGGCCAAAAAGGAAGTATGGAAATTTTAAATAATGTTAGAGTGCAGTATCCGCTTGTGATGGACATGTGCTCCTGAGTAAGTGTGAGATGGAAGATTCGAATCTGAAATTTTAACTGGTGTTTGCTTCCATGTACCTCTCTGCATGAGAATCTCCTCACTGAGTATGATTCCAGCGGATAAAGATATACGTGTTTTGTACAAAATTGCCCTGGGGTTCAAGCCAGCTGCTTCATCTGGCACTCAAAGATGATAACCAAGAACTAGAAAAACTGGCCGTGTTGGGCTTATCCACAAAGTGGTGCCTTCCCAAAGGATGATTTTCAAGTGATTTTGAACTTACCTCCCTGCACTCCTTCCCTGATATCTATGACTAGTCAACATGTGCAAAACACAAACTTGGTAATTGGCTGCAACAGAAGAACTCAACCCCAGATCAGGGCTGGCTTCAACCCCCAGCTCTCCTGCACTGCCTCTAAGCAACACTGACCCTGGAAGTGGAGAAATGGACAGCTACCCTCTATTAAGTACTTGTTACTTAATATTACTTACCCCAAGCACTCGATAGAGATTATCCTGTTTACTCTTCAGGACAACCATGTGTGGCAGATAGCGTTATCATCAACTTGCCCGGGTCATCCAGCCTGGAAGTGGAGGAATAAGAGTAATAGCAGCAGTAGAGCTGGGCTTCAAACCTAGGCTGTCCAGCTCCAACATCTGCACTGCTGTGCTGTCTCAGGTCCTGAGCTCTGAGCAGTGGGGCTGCAGTGAGCACGTGTGGCCACCAGAGGGCGGGGCTGCGGCTGTGTCTTTCCTCTTTCGGGTATCCTTTCCCCTTGGGGCTGTGTTCCTTTCTCTGCGACTCCAGAGGGGTGGCAGGGATTGGAGCAGCCAACTCTTAGAATCTGTGCCCCTCCTTTCCCATGACAGAGCTTGCTGGAGAAGGCCAAGGGCTCTCTCTAGTACCCAGCAGCAAACACTGCTGCTGTTTGGTGGGGCCCACTCCAGAGCTGCCTCTGAGCCTGCCACCCAACCCAGCCCTCCTGGTGCCTACTGCTCCCCAACTCCCAGGTTCGCATGGGGGAGGTTGCCTCACCATCAGCCTCAAACTCTGAGTCTCCTGAGGCTCTTTTTCTTCTGTGGCTGGCTAAGGCCGGGCACTGGCATTGTTTCAGCAGGCACAGAGAGGGCTGTGGTCACTGGGCGTCTACCCTGGCCCAGCCCCTGACCCCAAGCAGGCCTTGTCTCTGCACACCCATGCACTGACTTTGAGACCATCACAAACATTATGATTATTGCCACCATTTGCCCGGCACTTGACAGCCGTTATCTCAGTTAGCACACCCAACTGCCTTGTGAGGCCGGTGTCATTACCTTTTACTGCTGGACATTGCCACTCAGAAAAGTGAAGTGATTGCCCAAGGCCATGGCCTGTGGGGGAGGTTGGCAGGAGGACGGGAGCCCAGCTGTGCCTTGGTCACACCTGCTCCTCCCGTGAGGCTCTTCCACAACACTTCCCAGTTGCCCTTGACCTTCCTCAGCCACCCCACCCCACCCCAGAGCCAGGCCTGGCCTGACGTCACTGGGGGTGAACACGCCCCTGTCACTCTGCAGCCCCCAGAGAGCAGACAGGCAACTTCCCGTCCCAGACAATGGCAATAAAGACATCTGGGGACGCTTCTCGCCCTTCCCATGCCCGAGTGACGTCCACAGGCAGAGGCCTTCCTGGAACAGTCCTCTGGTTCCGTGTGAGCACGTCTGCGTGCTTAAGCTCGTGTGACTGTGTGTGTGTGAGACTATCTGTGAGCACAAACCTTGTACGTGTGTGCTGGTGAGATTGTGTGTCTGTGGCTGGGGTGTGATGGGTCGCCTGTGTGATTGTGACTGGGGCTTTGTGTATCTGTGTGTGCTCATGATCTGCAGACGGGGCAGAGAGATGGCTCCTCACTCAAATTTGGTGCCTTAGCAGCTCTCCCTCTGCTCCCAAGCACCCATGTGCTGGGAGACACTTGCCTGGGATTGAGCCAAGATCACAGACACTGTCAGGGTTAGGCCCTGTGAGGCTGATATGGATGAAGTCCTCCCTTCTCTTATCACATCCCTGCCTTGTCCTTGTCACCTACTCCTCCCTAGTCTATCCCTCCCAGCTGGCCCCAGGTCTATACCTCTCCTGCCCCTCGCAGCCCTATCCTGCCCATGGGAGGCTTCCGGCCACATCAGAGGCCGCTCCTTGGTGCGTTGATCAGTCGTGGTTGGGTGTGCTCCCTCCAGGTCCCAAGGGCCAGCAAGGTATTAGAAGCAATGGGAAGGATGCAGACTATAGTCAGGAGTTAGAATTCTGTTTGGGCAAGACTCTGCCCTCTCTGAGCCTCAGTTTGCTCATCTGTGAAGTGGGGATGAACACCTTACCTCAAAGTGTTGTTGAGACCATCAGCAGGAAGGCAGGTGGAGAGCAGCCAGCCCGGGGCCTGGCACACACTGGTCCCAAGGAGTGATCTTCCCTGTCTCCCTCCCTCTCCTCCATCCATTGCCAAGTTGCCAAGACAGCTGATTCTCCTCCCACACCATCCTCCAATCCACCCTTTGCCCTCCTGGAGCACTGCCAGGGGTGGAATGCACCCCTTCTCTCCTGGCCTAGTGCAGCGCCGCGTCCAGGCAGTCCACGTCGACACTCATGCCATGGTGCCCTTTCTGGATCACGGCTCTTATCATGGCCTCCCCTGCTCTGAAGCCTCCATGGCCTCCCACAGTCCC